AAGAGGATAAAGAGAGCAATTGAACAATAGAGAGGCAGGACATTAGTGAGAAACAGATATGGCTTATTACCTGTTGATGATGAAATGTATAGTACTCTCAAATGGATTGGTCTGAGAAGTACTTTATGATGGGCAAAGTATTTTTACATGCAAAATGAGAAATAGCAATTGACTGTTTTAAAAAATAATTAGAATAATAATAATAATGATTGAGTAAAACAGAAAAGATATTGAATGTTGAAGCGGGGAGATTAATGTCTCTGTATTGACTGACATGCATGGCATTCCCTTTTGAAAAAGTAATGTAATACGCTGTAAAGTTATATGTAATCCAATGTAATATAAAGAAGATTATGATAATAATAAAAAATAAAAAATAAAAAAAGAACATTATCACAGGATGCTTTCATTTTTCCTCCTATCATATATATGATCAAACACTGTACTTGTACGTATGTTATAAATCCCATAGAGGATTGCTCTCAATGTTGTTTTAAATAGTTAATTACCTTTAAAAGAGTTTTTAAAAATAGAATAAAGTATGTTATTCACCTAAAAATATATATATGATTGACCAAAAAGTATATGAAAACATGCTCAAAATTTCCAGTCATAGGAGAAATGTAAATTAATACCTGTGAAAGGTAAACTCTCCTACACTGTTGATGGGAATGTAAATTAGCACAACACTATGGAGTACAATATGGTGATTCCTAGGAAATCTACAAATAGAACTACCATAAGTTAGAGTAATTCCACTCTTTGTTATTTACCTCAAGGATAGGAAAACCCTTGGTTAGAAAAACTTGTACATCCATGTTTATTGCAGCATTATTTACAATTGCTAGAACATAGAATCAATCCAAATATCCAAAAACAGACAAGTGGATTGAAAAAAGATGTGACATTTTATATGTATATATATACATACACACACACACACATACTCTATGGAATACTATTCAGTCATATAAATCAATGAGGGTCTGACATTTGATACAAAGTGGGCAAACATGTAAAACTTAACACTAAGTGAAGCAAGCCAGATTATCAAAGATAGACTTGGTATGTCCCTGGTCAAAATATATTGAATATCTGCACTATATTATAGAAACTCGGGACCAGCAGTTAGCATAATGGTTATGTCGCTGAACTCCCATGTAGTTAACTGTGGTTCGAGCCCTAGACCTGGTGGCTTAAATGCACTCCAGGTGCATGTGCATGCGTGCCCAAGATCCTGAGAGGAGAATGGAGGAGAAGGGATTGTGATGTGGCCATCCCCCGAGGGGGGTGATTTCTGTCTCTTTCACTCTCTCTGTCTCTCTGGCGAGTGCACATATCCTATAGCAAAAACCTCTAAAAAAAAATCTAAATGGTTGTGAGACCAGCAGTTGGCATAATGGCTATGTTGCTGGACTCCCATGTAGTAGACAACAATTTGAATTCCAAACCCATTGGCTTAAACTCATGCCAGTGTGTGAAGATCTCAAGAGGAGAATGGAGGAGAAGAGATTCTGGCGTGGTCATCCCCCTATGGGGGGATGATTTCTTGCTTTCTCTCTCTCTGTCTTTCTGGTGAATGAACATGCCCTAAAGCAAAAACCTCTCCAAAAAAAGAAACTGAATGATTAGAAGGTCTAATAGCAGGGAGGACAACTATGGGCAGTAGAAATAATGGGGTGCTAATAGGGAGTGGGGAAAGGGGAAGGGAGGAAAATGGGGAAAATACATTTGATTAAAACAAAAAAGAAGTTATTTGCTAATGATAATGTATAAGATAATATCTTTGTCTTGATTTATTCACACTGTATTCATGCTGAGAAAAATGCATGTTTTGTACACAGTAATATATACATATACACACACATATATGTGTGTGTGTGCATATATATATGTGTGTGTGTGTGTATGTGTATATATATATATATTTGTATATATATATCTGTATATATATATATATATATATATATATATATATATATATATATATATATATATATATATATATATATATATATATATATATATATATATATATATATATATATATATATATATATATATATATATATATATATATATATATATATATATATATATATATACAGATATATATATACACATATATATATATA